GGTAAAACCACAATCTGACACTTGTTCAAAAGTGCCTCTAGCAAAGATCCAGATCCACAGTGTGTAATGAAACACCCTATAGATGGGTGCTCAAGAATTAATGTCTGCTGAACCCAACCCCCATGTACAATGCCTCTTCCTTGAACCCTCTCTTTGAATCCTTCAGGAAAAGCGGCTTCAACAGACTCAAATCCAATAGGTGCTTTAAGTGCTGCAAGAAATGGAAAACCCGTTAACTCAAGACCCAGCAACAATTCCTTGAACTGATCATGATGCATCCTCCATTCACTTCCAAATGCACAGTATATCACTGAACCAGGTTTGAATCCTGCAAGCCATTCAGCCCATTTTTCATCCAAAGTGGAGCTGTTTGGCTCTGGTAGGACAAGCCCTGAAAGCAAAAAAGGCTTCCCAAACAAGGTTTCAAGATACTCAGCATATTGTCCCTCGAGTTCTCTACAACCTTTGAATCCAACTGCATCTGAAAATTTAGTGCCAGTGCTGATGCGATCATGCATACGAACACCGCTGCCAAGCTCTAATTTCATGAATGAAGCTAATAATCGAACCTCATGAGCTTGAAGCTTGATGGAAGAATCTGGGAACCCAACTGGGGGATGCACCAACTCATCTGCATCTAAGTTCTTTTCCTGACACAGTTTTTCCACGGATTCCACATAAGCTGCTGATATCATGCTTATGACTATGTACTGAACAGACTTGATGCCTAATCTCCGGGCCAAGCTTGGCACCCAACATGCTGCATCAAAAATAACAATGTTTGGTTTCAGATGAAGTAAAAGTAGTTCAAGGTCCTTTTCAGTACGATCCATGGCAGTCATAAGATGTGTGACTAGAGAAAAGGGAACATCTGCAGTGGTCTCAGCATCAGAAGGAAGGCCATCAACTTGGGGAATGGTGATGGGGAATAATGTTATCAAATGTGGATGAAGGTTCAAATTTTCGAACTTGGCCTTTGTTCTTTTGGGTAGGAAGAAGGATATTCTGTGTCCCCTTCTTGCTAACTTGTTGGCTAAGTGGAGAAACGGTGATATGTGTCCAATAGCAAACCATGGGTACATAGCTACGTGTAACTGCAACTGTGGTGTGGCCATGGTAGTCTCAAAAATATCAACACAAAAAGTTTGGTTCGAGAGACAGAGCTACTATCTTCTATATATATGGAGTATCGGGTTCCGTTTCTTCACAGAGATAGGCTCAAAATAAGAAGCTACTATTACGTCTCATTTATTAAGTGAAAATAGATTTTTTATAAAGAAAAGGGCGACACAGAGAGAGAAGATAAGTTGTTCAGGCCAATGAACCAAATAAACAGGATAAGATTCTCTGCAGTTTTGTCCCGAATTAAACGAAAATGCAGCACTCTGCCGCTCAACTCAACTGGTTTGATCTCTTCTTTTTTCAATGTATCTATAGCTGCTTCCAGTGAGAAGCTAACGTATATATTAAGCACCATTAATTACCTACCAAAGATCCAACCAACTAACAGGTTTTATCCCCTTTAATGAACTTAGAAGTGTTGTATCTGCATGCATGCATGCATACAGTGTATAAAATCATTTCCCGCTTCTCTATGCACCGTCACTCACCTAGAATTTGATGCTCGGCCATCTTTATATATTCTCTATGATTGGTATTCATCTAACACCAATAATGGGTACCCATCAAACACCAGCCTGGCCCTTTTTATTCAACTCACATGATTCATGGATAGGAGATTGTAGCTTTATTTTTTCTGTTTAAACCATTAGAATTTAGGAAATGTTAATATCGGTATGAGGATACAGTTTAAACAATTAATAATAATAATAATAATTTACTTAAAAAGTATTTATTATTTTTTATAACTTTAATATAATAAATACAGTATTTTTAATATTTTTAAAAGTCTAAATTCAACTTTTAAAGACTAAAAATAATAAAATATTTAAAGTTTAACATCCCATGTAATACTATATTTAATTTATTTATCTTTTACTTTTTTATTTATATACATCTCAAAAATACACTTTAAAACATAAAAAAAAACCACCTTTTAAGCAATTTATCGTTCATAGATTTCTCAACAAAGAACCCCATGCCAGAAAAATTATTTGACCTCACAAGTAAAGCAATTTGTTCCTTATATATAAATAAAAATTTCGTGTTTATATTATTAAATTAATTTTAATAACAGGTATCATCCTTTGCGTGAAATTAAAAGAATTTTGTTTCTACTGATAATAAATATATCGTGTACATGTATAATATATCATATCATTACTATTCAACGTGTAGATTATTTTAAGCAAAAATAAAATTTTCGTATAATTCTCTCTCAACTCCCTCTTTCGCTTTCCCTCATTTACTCGGGTGAATTTGATATTCATTGCATTGTATATCTCTTGATTCAATCATTTCAATCTAAATAATAACAAAATATGCAAAATAATGGATTGGTACAAGTGATTAGATTGATTTTAGTTTAAAAGACAAAATTTAATTTCAATAAGTTCGGATATCAAATTTAACATTTGATATCTACAAATAATATTATGGGAGAAAATAAAGACTAAAAATTAGAAAATATGAATACCTCTGTTTTCAAATTGAAGTCTTCATATAAAAGTTGAGATTCTTTACTTATAGATTCGTGAAAGATCTGTATAAATATTTGGTTTAAATATGTTTGTTTTCTTATATTTTAGTATCATTTTAATTCCTTTAAAATACACACACGTATATATATATATATATATATATATATATATTAATTCATATTTTAAAAATAAATTTTTATTTTTAGTCTTTAATGTTGATATGATCTATTAAAATATTGTTATATGTTAATTTTTTTAGTTTGACTAAGTTAGCATTAAGAATTAAAAATAAAAATTTATAAAAAAGTGAAGATTAAAACAAAAAAAAAATTATTTAAATGGACTAAAATAAAAGAAATTATTAGAATGTGAAGAACAAAATCGTATTTAAGTTTAAGAACTTAATCAATTTAAATTTTATAATTTTTAAAATTTTATCTTTTTCATTTAATCTTATTTAATTTGATAAAATGTTTATTATTAAGGTTATAAATATTTAATCTAAATATTTTTATTTTAAAAAATAAATTTTAATTTAAAATATCTGTAAACTATTAAGTATTACCGTCCTAAAATACATTATTTATTGCCACATATATATAAATCTGATTTTAACTTTTAAAATTCGTGACCCGGCTTTGACGGTTTGATACCCACACTTTCTCAGGTACGAATTCCTTGTCTTCTCTTCGATTTAAGTATACAGCTCCGATAATTCACAGTTTCTCTATAATTTTTTATGTAATGTATCACTAAGCAATTCAAATCGGACGAAAATTTTGTTGGGGCGTTGAAATTTTACTTAAGTTTCTGCTATTGAATGTTTGATCATTTAAAAATGGAATCCCTACAATACAAGGGTTTAGTTTAGATGAATATGTGACAACTGGAACTGGGATTTTCTACTTGCCATGTTTCTTCCTCTTATTTGACACCCTGTAGTATCGCATTACAAGTGAAATTTGAGAATGCGTGCATCATGTGACTGTTGCTATGTCACCAACATTTTCTAAAGAGGGTTTACATTTTGCTAAAATGCCCCCACATTAATCGAATATGGTGAGAATACTCTTTATAAGGCTTGGACAATCCGTACGCTCGGTGTGTTTCTAATACCTCTCTTAATTAACAATATTGGAAACTGCATGATATGTAATGTCCATTTTAATTTGATGTAGAGGACAAAACCATTTTAGTTCCTTATACTTATCTCTACCTGATGATGTATGATGTGTTGTTATACACTTATACATCACTACTCAGTTGTAATTTGTGATTATGAAGCAGGAGGTGTGTTGTTTGGTTTAAGAAACATTAGTGGGTCTTTATATGTGAGAGAAAATATCTTGTTCTTCACTAAGTGCCTTATTTAGTGAACATAAATCAAATAAGTCATCGCTGATGAAATTGAACAAACTTTTATAAATTCAGGTATGTACAGAGATCTTGCATGTCAAAGCTATAGAAGTTTAAACTGCTGCCAAGTGTCACATTGATTTTCACATATAGTTCACAACACAGCAGAATGAAAAAATGTGTTCATCATCCTCATCTCCTCTGCACTTGACTCAACTCCCTCTTGTAGCATTGATTGAGCAATCTTTTTTATACCTTATAATAGTTGTAACTTTAAACCTCCTTCTAAGAAGTAGCCGTTTAGTTATTTTATGCTCCGTCCGTAACCAGGAAGAATCAAGCTTTCATTTGTGTCCAGGACTTGACTTAGCTATGTCCTTGTCTGCTCCCCCTGAACAGACCCTGACTTCACAATGAAGTAATTGGGTATGGCCAACTGAAAATGTAGTATTTTTAGTGTGTTGCAAGTGGTAAAATATAGAAGAAAAGAGTGCTTTGCTGAAAAATTTCTTGCAATGGAGGAAAAATCTACTGTTGTTTCAACATTTCAGAAGAGATTAATGACACCATTACATAACAACATACAATCAAAATCAATATTTAAATACTAAAACGATTATGTATGCTACTATATACAGACTATGATTTCTTGTCTTCATATAATTTTGTACTTGTTTACCATCTCCCCAGAGATATTTGATGCCTCTTATTGTTAGATATAAAAAAGGGAGGGAATGTTACTGAAGATGTTTTTCCTCTTGTTATGGTTTTAGTCTAAGAATAATGAGTACCAAAATCATCTAAGTCCTTGCATGATTGAAGTAACAACTAGTAATGAACTAAAAATTTTGTCGAATAGGAACCTATAAGCTTGGCTCTTAATTGCATGTTTCCCATCAAGATGCCATTCTTTTATTGGACTTGTGACTTGTTTATTTTATTAGTTCGTTACTTTTTCTTGGGTAGGCACAACTCATGGCCAGTATAATCTCATCACCTGATTTCCGTAAGCTCCAAAGATATAATGGGGGTGACGGGAAAGATATGATCAGCAACTTACCTGATTGCATTCTTCATTATATTCTTTCTTCACTACCTACAAAAGATGCTGTAAGAACTTCTGTACTGGCAAAAAGGTGGAAGTACATCTGGACATACTTATCTGTCTTTGATTTTGAAAATGATCTTCCAATCACCAACAGGAAAGAAAGCCAGATTCAAAAGTCAGCAAATTGCCTTCTATATCTAGTGGACAGACTACTTCATAGATCTGATTGTATAAAAAGGCTCCGTATTGCAATATATGGAATTACTGTTGATGCAGACCAAGTTAATTCCTTAATATATGCTGCAGTGAGGCAGAAAGTTGAAAATTTCAAACTTTCCCTAGATCTAAAGGATTCCTTTGTGTTACCCCATAGTTTCTCAATTTCTGAATCATTGAACAAGTTGTGTTTAGAAATGGTCTGTGTTCTAAATATTCCCAGTGGCATTTGTTTCCCTAGCCTAAAGACTTTAAAACTTTCATATGTTACCTTTTCAAATGAGAAGTCAGCTCAACATCTTTTCTCTGGGTGCCTTGTTCTACAGAAGTTGACCATATATGGTTGTGATTGGAAGAACATCAAGAATATAAGAATTACAATTTCCACACTAAGGATATTAAAAATCTATTATGACCCTTTTACTCCAGATAATTTGCTTAACTGTACATTCGAGATTGATGCTGTGAATCTTATATCTTTCTGTTGCACAAGCTATCTGGCTGTAGAATTTGTACTTGTCAATATGACCTCCATATCTGATGCTGATATTGATGTTATGACTCACTATCCATCAATGCGGCAACATGCTGCTCGCCGTGCAATTAAACTATTGGGTGGACTTGGTAATGTAAAGCATCTCAAACTATCAAATAATACTCTTGAGGTATGTTTGGATGTTGGCTAATCATCTTCACTTATGTTAATATTGTATTAGATAATGACTATGAATAATGTTGCCTTTAATTATGAGTTTCTTAAATTCATCAAATATTTCCTGTATCACAATAAATATATATTTTATTTCATTTACTAGTGTCTTTCCTGTGCAAAAAATATTCTCCATCTCCTTCCTTCATTCCACAATTTGACACATCTTGATGTGCTTTTGGGAGCTTCTGAGGATTTCACTAGTGAAGTAGTAATGGACATTCTCCAAAAGTCTCCTAAACTGGAAACTCTTGACATTCCTCTGGTACATCTCATACCCAGCTTCAATGACTAGATTTTGCCACATTTCTAGGCTAACTAGTATAATTTCTTCCTAATGACATGTTTATTGATTCATTTTTAGGGATTTGATCCAGATTTCGTCTTGGATGGTGAAGACTCCATATTCAATTCAGTGCCTTTCTGTTTCAAATATTGTCTCAAATTGTTTATCATTTCAAGTTTTGATGGCGATGCAACTGAAATGGAGTGGCTCGAGATTTTGCTAAAGCATGCAACAGTTTTGGGGGAGATGAAGATTTTCTGTTCTGAAAGTCTATCTGCCGATTTGAAGAAGCAAATGGAGATCAGGAACCAATTGCTACACATATGCCCAGCAAGTTGTGTCATTAATATCCAATCTTTTGTTTAGTTTTTTCGAACTCATTTCTCCTTTTCTTTTGGTGAAAGATTCATCTATATGCAGATGCTCGTCTCACCTTACTCCTAAGTTTGAAGTGGTTGAGTGAATTAGCTTCCTATAGCAATAATGAACTGAATCAGTCTTTATAATCAGAAATGTACCTTTCATTGGGCAAGATTGGCTGCAATTAAAATTTTCAGAATGACGTGTCAAGCTTGCAAGAATTATTGTCTAGAGATCTTGAATTAGAAGGTGAATTAGAATCTCTTATTCCTTAGTAAGCTCTATTTGTTCAGATAGAGATCTTGAATTCAGCTAGAGTAACTAGCAGTGGTACTATGCGCAATACCAAGTTTTCTATGCATCTCAATTTTTGTTGTAGTTTCTTCATGACTGCTTCATTTCATGGGTAGATGTTGCTTGGAATGGAACCAGTCAGGTGTTTAGAATGGTTCTTGTACACAGTGGTGAAACTTGCATCATTTTTGGCTGCCAAAAAAAACTTAGTACTTGAATTGGTATGTCTCACCCCCTCCTTCCTAAGACTAATGGAGTAATGAAATGATTGCACCGGGTTAAACAAAGAAGAAGAAACAAAAGCTTATAATTGAAATTAAAAGCATAACAAAATGTCGCATATCTGCATCCAGAATTTCTTCATCTAATTCTTTATGGCTAGGGCTTTGGTGTTCATGTTGATATGAGTCCTCATTGTATGCCTTAATCAGAACTTGTTGGAGCACCACGTACCTTCTCCTCCCTGATTCATTCTTTAGCACTTTTATACCCATAAATCATGCAAGTGGAAGTAGGTCTTCAACATTCATGATTTTATTCTGTAACTTTTAGTGATCAATATAAACCCAAAAAAATAAGTTTTGTTATAATCATTTGTAAGTGATTTAAAAATATCCAGAAAGTAGTCTCAGCAATAACATCAATAATAATGAGATTTATTAATTTGTAACTAGTTTGCGAACTACACTTTGATTATTGCAACATATAATGATTTCACTGTTACATTATATTTTTTTCTTTAAAATATATTATCTATCTTTAGAGTCCTTATTCTTAAACGAAAGTAATTTAAAAGAATAATCTTAAACGAGAATAGTTTTATGAGTTGTTAGTATTTGTTATGTCACATTACTTCTTTTAGTTTAAACATTTAATTTTAAAATTTTAAAATATTATCTCTTTAGTTTAATTATATTTAATATAATAGAGTACTTATTATTATTAATAAAAATATTAAGAATACTTGAAATTTATAAAATGTAATAAATTTTAAAACAATATTGCAACGTGCCTTTAATGTTGTACTTAAAAACATTTTTATTTTAATAATATCATTACAGTAAACCAAAGACCTACATATTTTCTCAATTTTCATACTACTCCATTACACTGAGAGTCAAATGAATTTTGACAATATAATTATTTTTTTAACGTTTTAATGTCTGTAAAAAAAGTATTAATTAAATAAGGCAAAACTAAAAGTCTTGTTGATTCTGCTTAAACAATGTTAAATTTTCATATTGTCCCTTATTTTTCATAAAATTAAACTAAAAATTATTATTAGTAGTAGAAATTAGTCATTGTTATTCAATATGAAATAATTTTCCGCTTCCTTTATTCATTTTCTCTAGTTTCATCCCTACTCTGGCCTCTTAAAATTCTAAGAAATAAAATAAAAATTTATTCATTAAAAAAATATTACAATTATACATAAAATAAATAAATTTTAATTCAACGTCAAAGAATTGCACTACTTCTTTCTAGAGCACTTCCTCAGTCTATTGCATTGAATATTTAATTTCAAACTGGTCACTCGGTTGTACTGGGGCGCTTTTTTTTAATATAGGAAAAAAAGAAAAAAAATCAAAATATGATATTTTAGAAAAAAAATTACGAAAATTTTTTAAAAATTGTTGAGCAAACCTGTCAACAGTATTTTTTAAGTATTTTAAAAAAATATTATTTTTGAAATCTGTTACGGATAAGATTTGACTTTTTATATTTTTATTGAAATTATATAACTTTTTGTTGTTTTTATTGAAAATTGTCATTAATTTTTTAAAATTTATATTTTCGTAATTTTTTAAATATTATGTTTTAATAAATATAATTTTTAAATACTATATATATAAAAATAATCCGTATCACGATTTCAGATTATTTTGTCATTGAGTGGGATCACTGAGAGAGTAGAAAAAAAATAGAAAATAAAAAGATAAAATAGAAAGAAAATATTGGGAAGTGTATAATAAGTGAAAACAAGTTCCAAAAACTAGTGATGTGGGCATGTTGCCGTATTCTCTTTGATATTTTCCACGCCACCTCTCATTTTATTCCATTTTAGGAGCCGTTTACGTCTTATCAAATCTTCCAACAATATCATATTAATAAAGCATCAATAGCCTACTTTTTTTTAATGAGAAAAACATTTAATACCTAAATATAATTTTTTTAAAAAATTACAAAAACGTGAAAAAATTTTAATGATAAATTTTAGTATTTAAAAAAAATAAACTTTATAAAAATTGTCACTAACAATTTTTAATAGTTTAAAATTATAGTAATTTTTTAATAACTTTTAACTATTTCATTTTTACAAATTATAACCTTTTAGCTATTTCATCTCTGTGACACCTTTACCAATAATTGTAGATAATGATTTTTCAATTATTATTATATTTACATAATTTTATCTAAAATTTTATATTTTAATATGGATTACCTTTAAATATCATGTAAAAATAAAACAACCCGCATCTATACCCTTTGAGAACATGATTCTTTCTTGATTTCTTTTCCTTAAATTCTGAGCAGCATCTTACAACATGGAGTGAAAATCAGTCTTAGAATCAGAATAAAAAATTAAAGAACTCAAAATTAAAGTAAGCGTAGAGGAGATGACAACATTACTAAGGATATATTCTCACTTAACACCCAATTAAATGAACCAAAACCATGAATTCTCAAATTTGACAAATGAAGCAAATTTGCACTCCAAAAAAGAAAAGAATTTCACATAATCAGTTAAGGAGGAAAGTGAAATCATGAGCCGCAGCATGAACAATTTCACACCTTTTCCAGGGCCATGGCAAAGAAGTTTTAGATCCTATGATGGCCACCCTTTTAGCAACCTTGAATCCAGTGAGGTGCCTGTGATTTATAGACCTCGTTCTACTCATACCAATGTAAGTATATTTTATTCTTGATTTAGTACCAAGAGTTTTATGACATGACAGGGGAAAGAAAGCCAAATAAATTTGTGTTCATAGAAGCAAGAGTGGAACTATAATTGTTTGTGCAGGATGACAGGAATTCAGGTTTATCAGCTCAACAACGTTTTTGGGACTTCATGACTCCCATAGGATTCCACAACATACCAGAGTAAGGCCAATTTGCACAATAATTTGCTTATGTGTTTAGACTTCACATTAATTGCTCGCTACATCAGTTCTCATTAGGGAAGAAATATAGGTGGTGCAAATGGTAATTAGGGTGAGAAGATTTATTCAATGAGAATAATCAACTGACATAAATATGCTTGTTCCATTTGCTACGGATTTCATAGAGTCAAAAGGTACTGGATTTGATGTGACACTTGAGGAGAAGTCTAGTAAAAATATATCCTACGAATTATGGACTTCACGATTTGTTTTCAACCGGTAAAATGAATGAACAATCAAATAACCGTTCTCAAGTGGAAAAGGAAAACACCAAGAGCCTAATTTTTGGTATTAGTGAAATTCTTTGATCTAGAAGGGAAGACAATGAACACTGATTTCAATTCCATACAAAATCAACCTCTCTCTCCCCTCTCTTCCATTTGATGTGAAACTTTTTTTTTTCTGTCTGTCATTAATAAAGGAAGTTGGTGGAAATTCTAAATTAAAGTAAGGGAAGAAATAAATTTTCAAAATTAAAACTTTGACAGTGAAATTAAGTTCAATGACATTGAATGAAAGTAAATTTTCAAAATTAAAACGTTGATAGTGAATTGTTGTGGTATTTTTTTTTAGCAAAATCAAGAAAATCAATCAACTTTAACTACTTTTACCAGTATGTGTTATATAAAAAGAATTATAGAGTACCAAATTTTGAGGGGGGGAGGAAAGCCAGGCTGATTTACCAAATTTTGAGCAATTTGCAGTTTTCCAGCACCACCACCTAGGAGACAACATATTCATGTTCACAGTGGGGATAGGGGAAGGCCCAGAGAGATTTTCCTTCAGCCACCTTCAAGATCCACATTCCAAGCAAGCTCACAAGTTCCCCCTGCAGTAGAAATTCCCAAATCAACTGTTTTGAGCAAGCTTAAGAAAGTAGTCTATGACCCTCCGCCAAGGCAGTATGCTAGGAGGGTGGGCTTATATTATAGAAATAATGCTTCAAATTCATTCAAAGAGAAGGAGAGAGAAAAGGATGAAGATGGTAAGAGGTGTGCTATTTGCTTGGAGGATTTTGAAGCCAATGAAGAGGTGATGCTCACTCCATGCAAGCACATGTTTCATGAAGATTGCATAGTACCATGGCTAACAAACAAAGGGCAGTGCCCAGTTTGTAGGTCTGTGATTTGGGAGAGAGGGAGGGAAAACCCTTCATCCTTCAACAGAAATCACATTGCCAATTTGGCACCTAACAACCTGATTCATGCAGAGTTATTGTCAATTTTGAGGACCATGGAAGACGCTTTTCCATTTGACAGCATGACTTATTACTAATAAACCCACAAGAATTTCCTAGTGTTGGGAGCAGGATTTATTTTTAGGTTCCAAAACATATATTAAGAATGTTTTTTTGGTACAACATCTTACTATGACATTTGATAGGCAGAACTTGGGATTTGTGAGGGATAATAGAAACCAACTTGTTATCCAATATTATTCAGAGTGTAGTAATTTAAGTTCTGCTTACATGCACCTAATTCAGAGTGTAGCTTTTTATTTTTATCTTGTTTAAAAAAGAAAAAAGCATTTTGTTTATTAAGAGCATGCTTGTTTTTATTTTTTAAAAACATTTTTCTGTTTTTAAAAATAAAATATAATATATATACTCTAAATATCTAAACCTATTGATTGGAGATGTATGTTTAACCCAATCATGCAAGAGATTTACTTTCCAGCTCTACCCTTCTTTTCTTAGCATCTTTCTTTAATTTTTCTTGTTCTTTTGTAATAATTTTCTTTTACCTTTTCCTATGTTCTTAAAATGCTGTTAAGGAAATATATGACTTAAGATCTTTTCTACTTGAAAGGTTTTTATTTTTGTCTTAATAATCCTAACTAATTCGAGTTACTTTTCAGATACATTTTCATAATATATAATCAAAATGATTCATATTTACCAGAAAAAACTCATATTTTCACTTTAAGACATCAGAATATGGAATCTGTTAATCATCAAATATTGGTAATATGTGTATATTGATTCATAATTTATTAAATTTGATAATAAATTAACAATTCGACAATATATATATATCACTTTTGAAAAGGATAAATTTATGGAGCTGAAATCCACAATAAATAAATTTTCCATCGCGAGTTTTAGTAGTTGCACCATTATTTTTTTATTTTTTTTTGTAATTTTTTTATAAATTGGTTTCATATCCTCTAAAAATTAAATACCAAAAATCATTTACATATAACTTCTGAAATTTAAAATGTATTTAATACATTTCAAAAATGAAATTTCAAAAAGTGATTTACAAATAAATATTATTTTTTTAAAATATATTAAACATACTTATGATTAAAAAAAAGTATGACATAAATAACAAAAAAGAGTTTTGCATATAGAAATCCTCATAAATAAATAAATTTAGCCTACCCAATTCTCCAAAATTCTGAATTCAAAAACATGTTGGGCCTTTGAAGCCAGCCCGAATGAGTGGGGAGCCCAAACTGACCGAATGAGAGGGGGAGCCCAAACTGAGGCTTGCTAAGGGGGGAACCAAATCCAGAAAAAATTAAATAGACAGAGGGTAAGTTGAACGTCGTCGTTTCAATTCTCCTATATAGTCACACTAACTTCCCTCTCTCCTCTGTTTGGGGTTTTCTTCATTCGTTACTCTTTTCTTCGTTCTGCCGCCGCAACGGTGCAACCTACCAAGCTCCAAATCCAATGGTAAAACCCTAACCCTCGTTCCTTCTTCTTCTTCTTCTTTCGAAATCATCTTCAATGCTTCACATATTCGAATCTACTTTTTCATTTTTGTTGTAAATTGGAATGAACTGAAATTTAGGCTTCAGAGAAGAAACTTTCAAACCCAATGAGGGAGATCAAGGTTCAGAAGCTCGTTCTCAACATCTCAGTTGGTGAAAGTGGAGATCGTCTCACCAGAGCTGCCAAGGTTTGCTTCACTCTTTTATTTGCTCCCCCCTTTTTAAATTATTTTATTTTTAAAAAAATTTATTTATTTATTTATTTATTATCTTGCAGGTGCTTGAGCAACTCAGCGGTCAAACCCCAGTGTTTTCCAAAGGTTAGTTCTGAATAGATTTATTGCTGGGTCGATAAGTAATGCTGGTAAATGGGTGTGAATCTCAAATATCTGTCAGTTAAAAAAAATATATTTATTTTTTTAATTCATTTGATCATTGTTGGGGACTTGGGGTTCTGGAAAATGGTTTTGGAGGGGGGAAAATCTATCTTTTGGGGTAATTATTTTAGGGTTGGTAATGGATGGCTCATTTTGTAATTACGGTGTGAATAGCGTGATAGTAGGGTACTAATGGTAGTAAGTTTTTATTAAAAACGTGAAGTTGCACTCACTTCCATGATTTCTCACGCATCCTGAGTGTTTTTCAATATAAATATTGACTCCTTAACCAAGACTTTAGGAAATTGGTTAGCAAGATCCTTTTTTTAATTATAATAATTAAGTATGAACCTGTTGAGTGATTAAAGTCACAATCGTGCTGCTTTGGGGTTTAGAGTAGGATGTGGTTAATGAGTTCATTAAAATATCAGATTTTTTTCAGAAACTTGATTCAGAGGTCTTGAGTATTCTTATCCCTTGATTATTAAACCTTGTTTTCAAGTCCGAAAGACAAAGTATTTTCTGTTTGAAGTATTTTAAATATTTACTTTATTTTCAGTATATAATGGTTATTGTATACTGGATATTTGTGGCTCTCTCTCACCTTTGATTGGTAAGAAATGTTTTTTTTCCTCTGGGTTTTGACAGCAAGGTACACTGTTCGTTCATTTGGGATTAGACGTAATGAGAAGATTGCATGCTATGTCACTGTTAGAGGTGACAAGGCAATGCAACTTTTGGAGAGTGGTTTGAAGGTGAAGGAATATGAACTTCTGAGAAGGAACTTCAGTGATACTGGCTGTTTCGGCTTTGGTATTCAGGAGCATATTGATTTGGGAATCAAGTAAGTTGAAGAACAACTCGAGGATTTCATGCTACTGTTTTCTATAAAGTTATTTGGCCTGAAGGGATGTGTTGAGGATTTGATATAGGTTTTGGTACAAATGATGCATATTGTTAATTTTAAATTAGTCATAACATATCTCTTCCACTCACTGCTTGAATTGAATCCAATATCAAATGCTAATAACCAAATAGGCTTAGAAATGCGGATGTTTCAGTTTTTTATTTGCTGTTTTGGTGCCTATATTGTAGCTGTTTTCTATGGTTTGTGATGGTTTTGAGGAACCAGTAGTTACACAAGGTTAATTAGTTTTTAAGCGAGGTTATGTCTAAATTCTTATGGATTCATTTTCCTTGCATTTATGTTAAATGAGCTTTGGTTCATTCTCCTTTTTATTAGGATTTTAGTTTCTTTAATTTTCAAGATGTAATACTATTGACCCATTAATCCATTATTGATCCTTGACCCTTGGCTCTGCTTCAGGTATGATCCTTCAACTGGTATTTATGGAATGGATTTCTACGTTGTTCTGGAGCGTCCTGGGTATCGTGTGGGACGTCGCCGAAGGTGCAAGTCTCGTGTTGGGATTCAGCACCGTGTCACAAAAGAGGATGCTATGAAGTGGTTCCAGGTGAAGTATGAGGGAGTAATCCTTAACAAGGCCCAGACAATTGTTAGTTAGACTGATTTCTCTTTAGAAGTGTGTTACCAGTTTTGTCAACTGTAGTTTGGTCTTTCTGGGATAGTATCTTTAATTTTGAGGCAGGTCTTGAGTCAATGTTTTTGTCATTTAAGCACATGGATTAACAATAGCCCTGTTAAAATGACACTTGTTGCAAGAAATTGTGAACCCCTATTTATGCAATTATGCTTGGCATCGATTTACTCTTTTTTCTTTGCAACCAAATGTGCTAAACATTTTATGGAGGGCCCTAATTAACGAAATAGAGCAATATAATTATCAACCCCCGACAAACCAAAACATTGAAGTGACGTCACGCTAGCTGCATTTAATTATCAATATGGATGGTTCTACTGAGCTAATGCATCTCACAGGTGCAGTGACATCAAGATTGTCCAATTGCTGTTTTCTTGACTCTAGCTTTCGCCAAAATTCTGCTAAATTGTGGCAAAACTATGTTGCAAAAAGTGTTTCTTTAAATGGTTTCATTTGAAAGTCTCTTAATTCTCACAAAATTGTGTTTAATATGAAAAATCAGGACAAAAAATAATTTAAGATGAATTTTGAGTTTTACGTGATTCAATGATACAATGTTTCTGCCCACCTACTCGGCTTGAGTGATTTGTGTGATTGTAAACTATTTAAAATTATATTTTAGTATAAAAGTTATAATTAAGATGGAAACGGATTTATATTCCAGTGAATTCGATATGGATTCATGTTTAAGCGAATTTGATGTAAATTTAAATACATATTCGGTGTGTTTGACTTGTTTTGTGTATAAAAATGTTTGCTTATTTTCAGTAACTTTGCAATATTTAAAAAAATCAATTATTTTATTAAGTTTTTCAGCTGACATTTACTGTTCAAAGTTTAATAATTGTTTTTCTTAAGTTATTGGACACTTCTAAACTATTTTCTATTTTTTTAACACTCGTGAACTTAATTGAAACTGAAACACATAATTTTGCATTTTCCATTATTCAATGGTACAATATGTGTGTAGTTCGACAGAAAGCAGGAGAAAGAAGGTAGGTACCAGTACTACAACTAGTAAATGGTGTTCAACGCATTGAATACAAAAATATAGTCTTTTACATGAACCCTATCTCCACTAAACTAATTAAAACTAAAACAAAGGATCTTCTTTAATTTGAAATAATGCCCCGTTATGTGAATTGCGTTGGTTGGTCGTTATTTTGTTATCTAACGTAGCGGACAAAACTTTATTCATTAGCTTAATGAATTTTGACCATCAAGCAAGCAACGCATCTTACACGGAACCAAAAAACTACTTTTTCTTGATCAAATAATAATTATAATAATAAAGCTTATATATATATTATTCTTACATTTTTATGATTTTTGTCTTTTTTATTTACGTGATTTCATAAAAAAATACACTTAACAGTCTTGTAATTAATCATCTCATTAAGAAAGAGAAAAACTGAAAAATAAAAAAAACATATAAACTAAAAAAAGAGATTAAAACTAATAATAATAATAATAACCCGTCTAAGAAACTGAATCGAATACAATTTGCCGGGGCAGGAATCTTCAATCAGAAAGCAACCATGCATAGATATTCATATTAATAATAATAATTCCATAACACAAAGTGTGTGATCTCTATATAAATCACCTGGGTCACTCCCTCCAATGCAAACCAATTTACATATCTCTCTATTCCCACTAAGGCTTCTCTTCCAACTTCCAACACTCATCAACCGTTGCTAATCAGAAATGGCTTCCACCAACCAAAAACACTGTGTGTTAGCTCTATTCTTTCTCCTTGCAATTGGGATTTCCCAAGTTATGTCTCGCAAGCTACATGAGACATCCTTGCGAGAAAGACATGAGCAATGGATGACACAATATGGGAAAGTCTATAAAGATGCTATGGAGAAGGAAAAACGTTACTTGATATTCAAAGACAATGTGGAGTTCATTGAAGCATTTAATGCTAATGGTGACAAATCTTATAAGCTCGGTATTAATCACCTTGCTGACCTTACAATTCAGGAATTTAAGGCTGCACGTAATGGATTGAAGAGACCTCTTCAGCTTAGCGCAACAACATTTAAGTATGAAAATGTTAATATTGTTTCTGCAGCTATAGATTGGAGGAAAAAAGGAGCTGTTACTCCAATCAAAGACCAAGGTCAATGTGGTAAGCAAAAGCAGATCATACATGTGACTCCATTAATTATTATTTGATAAATATTAATCAGTCACATAGGAACATTGATTAACGAAAAGAAAATTATTGATACATATTTATCACATATTTTAATGTATCTTTACATATTTTTTAAAATTTATTCATTTATTAATTAATGTCTAAATCATGATATAGTGCTTTAGGTCTAAAAGCAGAAGGTTTTTGTAATTTATAGGTACTAAAATAAAATAATTTCAATAGAGACCAGTAAAATTCTACTTCTAATGACAAAATATGTTTAAACCATATTATTGATATTATTATTTTCAATTTGACTCAAGCTAATTGTACTGAAACAACCAGATTAATGTTTATGTTAATTTTGGTTGAAAAATTAAACTAGGGAGCTGCTGGGCATTTTCAACTGTGGCTGCAACAGAGGGTATCCACCAAATAACAACAGGTAAATTAGTCTCACTCTCAGAGCAAGAGCTAGTGGATTGTGACACAAAAGGTGTAGACCAAGGGTGTGAAGGAGGATACATGGAAGATGGGTTTGAATTCATTATAAAAAATGGTGGAATCACTAGTGAGGCCAATTACCCTTACAAGGCAGTTGATGGGACTTGTAAAACAAGAGCCACTTCAGTAGCTCAAATTAAGGGGTATGAAAAAGTTCCATCTAATAGTGAGAAGGCACTTCAAAAAGCTGTGGCCAACCAACCAGTTTCAGTTTCTATTGATGCAAATGGTGAAGGTTTCATGTTTTACTCTAGTGGGATTTATAATGGAGAATGTGGAACTGAACTAGACCATGGTGTTACTGCAGTTGGTTATGGTACAGCTAATGGAACTGATTATTGGCTAATCAAGAATTCATGGGGTACAACATGGGGTGAACAAGGATATGTAAGGATGAAGAGAGGTGTAGCTTCCAAGGAGGGTTTATGTGGAATTGCCATGGATTCCTCTTATCCAACATCTTAAATTTTTGCTTTTTAATTGCAACTTATGGCTGTAAATGTAAACTATACAGTTATACCAGATCAACTGTATGTAAATATGAATGTATTTTTTATGTAAAAGTTCAACTTCTTATAACATATAAATATATTATAAAGTATTTTATTTTAAAAAAATACATTCCTCTCTTTTGAGAGAGGAATATGCATTATACTTTATTATTTTTTAATATGTATATTTTTTTAATAGAAAGTGAATAGTTATTAATAAATTTTTAATTATATTTTATTTTCTTTATAATATAAGTTATCAGTAATTAATTTTAGTATTGTAGAAGGTACGATGAAAAACTAAACACCTTTATTATCAACTTTAAAATTTATCTTCTAAGATTATAAAATTTATAACGAATGTCCAAAACTAACTTTCAATCACTGTAAGAGACACAGAAATTCTCTGTAAGAAGTCCATTTATATTAAAATGAACTCAAAGGTAATATATATCATCTTTTATTAAAAAGAACTGAGTGCATATTTTAAAATAAGAAATGAGGTTATAATATAATCATCTCTTAAAAGAAAAAAAAATGAAGATCAGATATAAAATTTACATATATGACAACAATTATTTTAAGAGAAATAAACACTTTTTTTTGCATATTTCTCTTAGGATGCTGATAAAAATAAAGTGTTTTTTTTTTAAGTAAGCTAAATTAAATACACTCAATAAAATCATATTTGACAATATTAAATTTAAAAGCCCTAAGTTATCTAAATGGGCCTCAGTTTACTTTTTGTTTTTTATAAATTAATAAAAGAAGTTACTATTTAAAATATGGTTAGAATTCATATGTCGAATTAAATGTATTTTAATTATTTTGACTATTGAAAAATAACGTAGACGACATGTTGAATCGATCTGTTGATTATTATTAGAAATTGATGATGCAACTGAACGTTGATATTAGTATCATAATTACGTTGTTTCTAATAAATTTTCAATTATGCTGTAACAACAATAATGTATGTATGATATTTCAAATTAAAGTTAACTAAATCTCACATCAACTGACAACTTTAAATAATTTTAGTAGTCAAGAATTAACAAAAGTTTAGAAGTATTACTGATTAAATGAGATTGTTTTCAGAGGAAATAAGGATTGGGATAGTGATATATGGTATGAAACTTGAAGCCATAACCTTATTTTATATAATATATCAGATATTGGATCATATTATATTGACATATACGGACAAGAAGTATCGAAAGAGTGACATAGTTTGTAGGATAAAAGTTTGAAGCTACATAGCTTCCTAGTACATGTACATTGACATATACTATAATCATGAAATTACTTAAAACCATCGTGTGAGTAGTAAAGTACAACCATAAAAGAATAGGAAAAACAAAAAGGTATATAAAACCATAACATGATACAACAAAATTAAAATATAACTAAGTATCTCGTGCATTTAACATTAGAAGCTTGGAAAGATGGAGGTAAAGGTGGGAAGGGAGTGGAAAAAGACAAATAAAAGAAATGCCACAAGATAGAAGAAGACATTAATAATAGTACAAGTTGTAGCATCTTAAATATTAAGTAAATAAAGTTATTTGATTGTGTCAACGGAATTAATGGGAATTAATGGAAAACAGAATTGTATGGGATTGATTGCACAATTATTTGTAACGGTTATTCTTTTATTTAACATAATTAGCTATAAATGTATATATGGTAGTTTAGCTGATTTATTGGGCTGAAATCAACGTTACAGCTTGTAATATTACTGTATTTATATGAGCAATCTGAATGAGAAGGACACACAGTTCTTGGCCAAATATTTTCTTAATTTGACATGGTATCAAAGCTTAGGTTACGATCCAAGAATCTCGCCTACATTCTCGGTGTTTTTTTTTTCACTTCTATTTCTCGGTCATTTGCTTCCCAGTCCAGATTACTCTAGTTCCATGTCTATCGAAAAGCACGATGTCCTGTTGGTTCGCCTTAACGGCAAAAACTACTCAGCTTGGTCATTCCATTTCGAGATATTCGTTACAGGAAAAGATTTGTGGGGTCATGTTGATGGCAACACTCCAATCCCTGACAAAGACAAAGATAAGGTTGAACATGCCAAGTGGGTAGTCAAAGATGCTCAGGTCATGGCCTGGGTCCTTAGTTCCGTTGACCCCAACATTGTTTTGAATCTTCGTCCTTACAAGACAGCAGCAAAAATGTGGAATTACTTAAAAAAAGTCTACAGTCAAAATAACACTGCACGACGATTCCAGCTTGAGCACGACATAGCTTCCTTTCAACAGGATAGTCTCTCCATCTCTGATTTTTACTCTCAATTCATGAATCTTTGGGCTGAGTACACTGATATAGTTTATGCAGACTTAACTTCTGAAGGTCTAAGTTCAGTACAAACTATTTATGAAACGACTAAACGAGATCAATTTCTTATGAAATTGAGATCTGACTTTGAAGGTATTCGGTCCAATCTCATGCATCGTGACCCTGTACCATCTTTGGATGCGTGTTTCAATGATCTGTTACGTGAAGAACAACGCCTCCATACACAGTCCATCATTGCAGATCAAAAATCATCTACTGTTCCAATGGCATATGTGGCACGAGGGAAGTCAAGAAGTCATGACATGAGTGTTGTTCAATGTTTTTGTTGCAAGCAATTTGGACATTATGCTTCCAATTGCCCAAAAAAAATTCTGCAACTACTGCAAAAAGCATGGACATATTCTTAAGGAATGCACAATAAGGTCACCAAAGCGAAATGTCACAGCCTTTACCGCCGCAATTGATTCATCTATTCCTGACAATTCAGTCAATGCAGTACCAGTTCAACCAAATCCTCTTGCTACTACTTCAACGGTGACTCCTGAAATGGTTCAACAGATGATTATTTCAGCATTCTCTGCTTTAGGAATCTCAGGTAAATCCTCTTCATCTTGGTACTTTGATTCGGGGGCTTCCAACCACATGACCAACAATGCTCAATTTCTTACAAATGTGAAAAAATATTTGGGCACTCTCAACATACATACCGCTGATGGAAATCAATTGCCTATCACAGCCACGAGTGATATTTCTTCATCTCTCACAGATTTTTTGTCTCTCCTGGCCTCACTAGTAATCTAATTTCAGTTGGTCAATTAGTCGAAAATGATTGTCAAGTACAATTCTCACAGTCTGGTTGTCTTGTGCAGGATCAACACTCAGGGAAGATCATCGCGAAGGGGCCTAAAGTTGGACGTCTTTTCCCAATCCGTTTCTCATTACCTCCAAGTCTTTCTTTGCCTTTAGTTTCTTGTAATTCTGCCTTTGTTGATTACCAAGTGTGGCATAAGCGTCTTGGACATCCAAACGCAAATGTACTTCATGACTTGCTAAAATCTGGTTTTCTTGGAAATAAACACACTCCATCTCTTAATGTTGTTCATTTTGATTGTATTCCTTGTAAGCTTGGTAAGAGTAAAATTCTGCCTTTTCCAACTCATCAGTCTCATACAACACAACCTTTTGATATCATCCATAGTGATGTTTGGGGGGTGGCACCAGTTATATCTCATGCTAATTACAAATATTTTGTAACTTTTATTGATGATTATAGTCGTTTCACCTGGGTCTATTTTTTGCGATCAAAAGATGAAGTTTTTTCTACTTTCAAAATTTTTCATGCTTATGTTCAGACCCAATTTTCATCAAAAATAAAAATATTTCGCTCTGATAATGGAGGTGAATACATGTCACACTCATTTCAGGAATTTTTGCAATCCAATGGCATTTTATCTCACAGGTCATGCCCCTCAACTCCACAACAAAATGGGGTAGCGGAAAGAAAAAATCGCCATTTGCTAGATGTTGTTCGCACCCTTTTATTGGAGTCTCATGTGCCTTTACGTTTTTGGTGTGAAGCCCTTTCCACTGCAGTCCATCTTATAAATAGAATGCCATCTCCATCATTAGGTAATGAATCTCCATTCACTCGGTTACATGGTCACCCACCAAATTACTCCACTCTTCGTATCTTCGGTTGTGTGTGTTATGTCCATCTTCCTCCACAAGAACGCACCAAGCTCACTGCACAATCTGTTCAATGTGCTTTTCTTGGATATTCTCCTCATCAAAAGGGCTTTCTATGTTATGATCCTAACCTTCGTAGAATTCAGGTATCTAGAAATGTCATCTTCCAAGAACATACATATTTTTTCGCATCACATCATGATCATGTTGCTTCTCCAATTTCTGTTTTGCCATTGTTTTCCAACTCTCATGCAGGTCAACAATCTCCTAAACCTCTCTTGACATACAAAAGACGTAGTACTACCACTCACATTCAACCAATTGACTCTCATGGGCCCCCTCAAGATGATTCCTTGGCTGCTGGTCCAGTAGAAGAACTAGAACCAGAATCGGCTCCTCTACGACGCAGCTCACGCGTTCGTAAGCCCCCAGAAAGGTATATCACTTCCATGACAGCATCGTTATCTTCTATTCCTATTCCTTCATCTTATAAACAGGCCATGGAGAATGAATGTTGGCAGCGAGCTATTGAAGCTGAACTTCTCGCCTTGGAAGAAAATCAAACATGGGACATAGTCCCATGTCCATCATCTATTAAACCTTTGGGAAGCAAGTTTGTGTTCTCTATAAAGTTGCGTTCGGATGGCTCTATAGATCGTTATAAGGCTCGTCTAGTTGTGCTTGGAAATAAGCAAGAGTATGGACTAGACTATGATGAGACGTTTGCCCCAGTCGCCAAGATGACAACTGTGCGCACTATTCTTGCTCTTGCTGCATCACAATCTTGGCAGCTACATCAAATGGATGTCAAAAACGCATTCCTTCACGGTGATCTTCAGGAGGAAGTTTACATCAAACTTCCTAATGGTATGCCTACACCTTCGCCTAATACTGTTTGCAAACTAAAACGATCTTTATATGGATTGAAACAGGCACCAAGAGTATGGTTTGAAAAGTTTCGATCGACATTACTTGGTTTTG